AGTTTGTTTCCGGGCACAATTCAAAGTGCTGGTTATGACCTTTAAAGTTCCTAGACAGTTCTGGATCTGCTGTTGAAGGAAGTGAAGCAAAAGCAATGTGGAAGACTTTTGTCCCATGGATACCTATGATGCCCAGAAGGGAAGTTTGGGTGGCAGAGTGTCTACACTACTTTAATCCTTAGCTACTGCAGCTGGCCGTGCAGGAGACGAGGATGAAACGTCCTTCTCAACATGCGACCCAATATTTCTCTGTATGCAGCCGTATGCAGCCACATGTCATTGAAAATGGCTATGCATGTCAGTGCTGATACGCATGTCATCACTTCACCATCATGAATCTAGGCCAACCCCATCCTCCTTTCCTCACCATCAATGCATCCAAGCTCTTTCTAGTTGTGTGGGGGGACTTCATTCAAGGAGGCTAGGGACTCACAGGTCTCGGCCAGGCCACCCTTCAGTTCAACCAGGCCTTGGAAAAACTGGGAGACTTTCACATCCAAGTGGTAGAACTGTGCGTTGAGACAGTGGACAGCCACATCCAAGCTGTTCAGATGTGGGATGGGAGAAGAAAAAGAAGGCACCATATAAATTGTGAGTGTTCTTGAAGAAGGCGGAGGGTGCATCTACGCTGTAGAATTATAGCAGCTTGACAGCACTTAACTGCTATGGCCCAATGCTGTGGAATCAGGGGATTTGTAGCTCGATGCAAAGAAACATGAACAAACAATCTTTAAAATGACAATTTTTTGTTGTCTCTCTTCAAGTCATTTCAGACTTAGTGCAATCCTAAGCCTAAAGTTTAGGACAGGGAGTGGATAAATGACCTCGGAGGGCCACATCTGGCCCGCAGGCCCACAGGCCTGCTCTAAACAGATTTTGCAATGCAGAATCTACACAATAAAGGTGTACCAAACTGTGCCTCTCCAGATTTGCTTCCAAATCAAGAAAAATGCATGTAACTCTCTTCCATCTCTTAAGCATACAGATGACATAAGAGAGACATTGGTCAG